TAATGATAATTTATTACTTTTTAGCCATAAGTTGACCATTTTGATTTTACTGGTATTCCAAACGTTTGACTCAACTATGTTGGCATAAGAGGTGCACACCTCGGTTTCGCATGCGCATACCTTCTATCTCCACAAGGATATATTAATTTTGCCAAAGTCAATGCAGCACTAAAAGGTTGCATTCTTCCAAAAGAAAAAACGTTACACATCTTTAGATACCAGTGGATGGTTTTACATGGCCTTGTTCCGAGGGAAAGACGAGGTCAAATATTCCAATCCAGTTCAACTATTAAAATATTTCCTAAGTACCTAAGCTTTTAAACTAGGAAAACGAAATGCGCGCGGCAACGCAAATGTAGTTTGAAAAGCTCAATAGAAAGTGGCTAGATGCTGTCGATGGATCGTGGCTTGTATTAGTGAAATAAACTACCATTTATTTTACTAAAATTGAATTTCTGACATTGTAAGGAGATTCAATGTTACTATGTAAGCAAAACTAAACCATGTAGTTTTTAACAAAAAGGCGCTCCTGAAGTATTCGTACTATATCGGCGCACAACCTGAACATTGTATGTTTACCAGGTGAGGCTTCAGGATGTGCGTCATCTTGGACCGAATACTTTATATCCACTTTAAAACAATTGCTCAACATTATATACTCCACACCCACCTGGGTATCATTATATATGTCATATATCTAAACAATAAAAAAAACTTTATGTCCCAAAACAATGTTAGGGCTCGATTCCGCCTGACTATTAGGCGACCCGCGGCAGATTACAAATGCTATTCTAGAGATTGCAAACTGAAAAAGTTCGTGTGCCCACGACACATATTTAGTAATTCATTTTATAAATCACTGTAAACTAAAACAGTCAATTGAGCGCAATCTACCTTTTAATCAATTCTAAAACTGCCGACGGGCATGGCACGACTTGATATATAAGTGTAGAGTATATTCAGTCAATTGTTTATTGTACTAAAATAAATTTTACTCCGCGGAATTTTATCGCAGCAGTCGAAGAAATTTTTCTGAGCTGACAGTAATATCTTTGAAATAGAGTGAAGCTAGTGCTGTAGGGACGACTCAGATTTGTTCAGTTCACGGGATCCCAAAACATATTTTTATGTCCGCAGAATGCCATATAGTATTTCAGAGTGATAATGCTTTTATATTGTCGAAGCAACCGCAGGTTAAATTGAACCCATTGAAATTAATAAAGGAATGCGTTTTAAATATGCCCGTATAGATTGATTACTTTGCGCAAAAAAGAGAACATTCTTCTTCGAAAAAGTCTGTTTCATGAGCCATTCCGCGACACAAAGGCAAGTTAAACACAATTAAATATAGTTAGTCATTTTAATTTCTCGTAGATGTCATGAATTGAATATTTATTTGAAAGAAAAATTATAATAATCGGCTCTTGTTTTTTTCGAAAAGATAGACAAGCGTCTTAAGATAAGCAGTGCAAGTGTGATAGAAGCATTAGCTATCACGTAATCACTGCGACTGTTTCAGAAGCCGTAAAAACAAAAATTCTGATCTTTATGTATGCGTGTGTGCAGTTATCTGCATATTCAGTAAGCATTCATTTTTGTATATTATAAAATTTTTAGTCAATCGCTTTTGACAGCAAGTTGGCCACCCCTGGTACAGGTTATACAAATGCTCAGAATGACAAAAGTTTCATTCATTTTTGTATATTATAAAATTTTTAGTCAATCGCGTTTGACAGCAGGTTGGCCACCCCTGGTACAGGTTATACAAATGCTCAGAATGACAAAAATTTCATAATGACTATGAGTACTCCTCGCAAACAAACATAGTGATTGTATCGTTTTATCATCGTAATTGGTCATTAATACTGTAATTCTGGTCGGAAATATCAGTCGCTATACATAAGTTCTTATGTAAAACGATATAGGATAAAATCAAACACGTACGTTACTATGTGAGTTACACAACGTTCGTCTGAACGCTGGCGCAATCAACTCGGCGTATAAAAAATGTCGTGTCCCACTTGTCAAAGCGTACCTGAGCCAAAGTGACTATAAACCAAGTGGAGACACCGAGTGCAATGATGCATATCGGACGTCATTTTGTGTCCAGCGAATCGGGGGAAAGCGTCAGCGTCGGTTTGTTTTAGCTTCGTCAGTCGGTCTCGTTCGTCAATTTGTTTGAAGATTTTTTACTGTTTTGCATTTCATTCGAGTAATTTCATCATTTTTATTTGCTAATTGCCTCGTGGAATCATACTGGTATCGTGCGGTTTCGTGTAAGTTGCGATAGTTATCTTAACATCCCGTGTGAGTTATACAACTTTGAAACCTCATATCTCACGAACCTTATATTATATGCAGAAAAGTTTTATATTGTTTGAAAGACAATCTAGAAGAATAATTACAATTATGAGATGGAAATAAAATGTCGCGATTATCATACAAAAATCGGCAAAATTGAAAAGCGTGGAATTTTTTTGAAACGCTTTTGAGTTAAATAACAAAAACTTCGATTTGCTTGTTTTAACCTAATATGACATCGACACATTTGCATAGGTTAAGAATAGCTTTCGATATTAGATATAATGTGTCGTGCACCAGTAAAATTGTATAAGTTATTTCATTCAATGTTCTCCAATTCTTGAAATGTCCACTGCGCCAACTTGAGTTAAACAACGACGTTCCCTAATTACTTAGTTACGCAATTACGTCGCAACGTTCCGTATGAAAAACACATATCGCTTTCCTTCGCAAGTGTGAAACGTCATTAACCTAATGCATACGTTTAAATCAGGTACTATTTGAACTGGTATTATGATACCTGTTCACACCATGCCGAAAGTTTGAAGCCTGCGTTTTACATTAATCATTCCAGAAGCTGATGAAATGAA